GGGTTTGGGCACCCAGAGGTCCCCGGGATTCGGGGATTTGCAGCTGATGGGCTAAGTGTCTCAGGGTGCTTCCGTCCAGCTGTGGGGTCCCTGTCCCTTTAAGACTTCCAAAAAGCACTCGCTTTTCTTTGTCCCTGGGGTGCCGGCTGCAGGGACCCACTCACAGGTCTTACTGTCCTGTTACCCTAGTTTCCAGCACCCCACTGTGCACTGTGTCTGCGCTCTGGTGCAGATGGCTAGGGCTGCGTGTTCAGCAGTCCTGGGCTCCCTCTCCCTCCCCACTCTGACTCCTCTCCTCCTGCTAGGAGCTGGGGTGAGGGGCGCTGGGGTCCCACCAGCCGTGGCTTGTATCTTACCCCCTTTGCAAGGCGCTGGGTTCTCGCAGGTGTGGATGTAGTCTGGCTGTTGTGCTATATCTTCTGGTCTTTCTTTTAGGGATAGTTGTATTTGTTGTATTTTCAAAAATATATATGGTTTTGGGAGAAGATTTCCACTGCTCTGCTCATGCTGCCATCTTGGTTTTCTCTGTGTGGTGTTTTTGAGATCTTTAAATTAGTTGCTCACATTCAAAAGTTCAAACATTTCATGTAAAAATTCTGAAGATCGTGCACATGGCTCTCCCTCAGGCTTTCTGGTCACCATCTTCAATCCGGTGCATTAGATGTCTCTGAACATCACAAAACTGAGGAGCTGTCACCCACAAGAGAGTGTAGATCTGTCGGGGTCATTCTCAGTCTGGACAAGATGGACAAGCAAATGAATGACCTTCTGCCCTTTAGGAAGACCTCCCTCCAGCACGGCCTCCCCAGCGCTTTCCTGACTGGGTTAGCACACTGCAGCATCTGCTGCCAGCTACTTCCGCCATGGGGCACAGAGTCAGTGAGACAGCCCACTTGAGGCCTTCTCCTCCCCAGTCAGCTAGACATAAAGAACTTCCCACAAGGAAAGGAGGCAATGCAGCAGGGAAGGGGTCAGAGTCTGAGCCACATGATTATGCAGCTGACTTGTGCCTTCGGGACCTCCTGGAGGCACAGATGCAACATCCACCTGGTCACGCAGGGCTGCCACACTCACCCAAGCTGGGCAGGTCAGTGGCCCCTGGTCCGTAATGGAAAGGTCATGTCTCACAGATCCTCAACCCATGTTCAAAAGTTCAGTATTTTCTGGGGCCGTATAACAAACCCAGAGCTTTTTCTCAAAGAAGAGAACATTGCTCTCTGCAGAAGAGAGTCCTTTGCTCGAAAATTCTATGGCTCTGTCCTGTAAGTCTAATGTCGGGACTTGCCAGAGGTGCCACACTTAAGAGTGTCGTCTGATCTTCTTCATCATAAAGCTTGAGTGGCAGCACACTTGGGTCACCACTTGGACCTGCTGTGGAATCTTCTCTTGCTCTGAAACCCCACTGGAACCTGGTAGCCTTTCTGGTTATTCAGTAAATGGGTTGGAGCAGCACACTCAAATATGGTATCTGTTGCTTCCAAAATCCTGAATTCCCTTTGGTATGGAAATCTTTTTAATCAGGTGGAACAACACGCAGTGTCTTTTCTTTAAACTTGAAAATACTATCCTGCCCACTAGACTGCCAGATGCCCAGAAACTTAATCAAGAAAGGCGGCTGGGGATTTTCCAGGCACTTATCTCTCATCCTCTGGATGTCACAGATCAAGTAAGGCATCTGTTGTGGGCTAAACAGTGCCCCCCACCAAATTCCTGTGTTGAAGCCCTGTACCCCCAATGACTGTATTTGGAAGAGGTCCTTAGAAGAGGTGACTAAGGTTAAATGGGGTCATAAGGATGGGCCCTAATCCTACGGGACTGGCGCCCTCACAAAAAGAGAAGAGGACATGGAGCTTACTCTCTCTCCATGGAGAAGGCAGCCCTCTGCAAACTACAAAGAGCTGTCTCACCAGAAAGTAAGCCCACCCACACCTTGATCTTGGACTTCCAGCCTCCAGAACTGAGAGAGAGTAACTTCTGGTGTTTATTCACCCAGTGTGTGGCATTTTGTTCGGACAGTCCCAGCTGATTAAGCCAGCATCTGAGGTACTTAAGACTTCTTGATCATCAAAGGCAATTTGCATAATTCTAGCAACATAGATGGTTCATGTGCTATTTTGTAGGATATCAAAAGAATCAAGTTCTCTATGTACTAGATTATGGCAGACAAGGAAAATTCACATAATCTGGAGGTAAGATTGTTCAGGCATATTGAGGGCTCTGCCAGGTAAGAGCAAACTTGCAAGTCGGGAAAAATATATAAAAGCATTTGTGAGATAACCACAATGAGATATCACCTCACATCAGTTAGGATGGCCAACATCCAAAAGACAAACAACAACAAATGCTGGCGAGGACGTGGAGAAAGGGGAACCCTCCTACACTGCTGGTGGGAATGTAAACTAGTTCAACCATTGTGGAAAGCAGTATGGAGGTTCCTCAAAAAACTAAAAATAGAAATACCATTTGACCCAGGAAGTCCACTTCTAGGAATTTACCCTAAGAATGCAGGAGCCCAGTTTGAAAAAGACATATGCACCCCTATATTTATCACAGCACTATTTACAATTGACAATAGCCAAGACATGGAAACAACCTAAGTGTCCATCAGGAGATGAATGAATAAAGAAGATGTGGTACATATACACAATGTGATATCATTCTACCATAAGAAGAAAACAAACCCCACCATTTGCAGCAACATGGATGGAGCTAGAGGGTATTATGCTCAGTGAAATAAGCCAGGCAGAGAAAGACAAGTATCAAATGATTCCACTCATCTGTGGAGTATAACAACAAAGAGAAAACTGAAGGAACAAAACAGCAGCAGACTCACAGAACCCAAGAATGGACTAACAGTTACAAAAGGAAAGGGATTGGGGAGGATGGGTGGGAAGGGAGGGATAAGGAGGAAAAAGGGGCATCACAATTAGCATGTGTAATGTAGAGGGGAGGGACATGGGAAAGGCAGTATAACACAAGACAAGTAGTGATTCTACAGCATCTTACTATGCTGATGGACAGTGACTGTAATGGGGTACATGGGGGGGACTTGATAATACGAGGAGTGTAGTAACCATAATGTTGTTCATGTAATTGTACATTAATGACAGCAAGAAAAAAAAGCATTTGTGAGAACAATAGCTGCATATTAAATGCCAGGAGGAGGATTGATATTTTCTAGCTGACATTTACCACATCTGGAAGAGCAACTGCTACTGAGGTCACCATGTAAGTTTATGATAATCCGTGATCCATTTACCTTTGGTAAAGGCCCAACAGTTAAGTTAAATAGAGATGTAAGACTTTCAGGTTACTCAAGAATAAGCTGGTCAGAGTTTACTGCAGAAATATTACCATTATCTCCACCTCTGCAACCTTAAAGTCTTTAATGATCTTACTAATCTCTGCAATCCACCCAGGGGCTTGGCATTAATTTTAGTGAATTGCCCTAGAAGGAAAGAAAAGTTCGACGGGCTCCACTTGGAGCTTCCTGCCATACGAGTTTCAGGGATCCTATGTACGTGGTCTTCCAGATGCTGACTGTGTGAACTTCAGTTAACATTGTCAGGCCCTGGGAAAATAACACAAAGTGGGGCCATGGCCCAACTGGACCCACTGTGGGACTTGGCCAAACCCCAACTATTGTTTGACCAGCATAAGCCTTCACTGTGACAGGTGAAACACAGCAGCATTGTTATTCCCTCAAATTAACATCAGTTCGGAGCTGGTGTCTATTGATCCACAGAAGTTAGGATTTCCCTTTCATCACTGCACATCCATTACACTAAATGCATGCTGGCCCTTTTGGGGGCAGGCCTGGAGGGAGAGTTACAGAATATACTTGTAGTGACATCACAGGGTCCTCAGTTGTGTAAGTGCTTGTTTCGTGACTGTGCTTCCAGGGACTTTAAGCCCCATAGTCACAGGAGTCACATCTGCCTGTCCCACCCTCATCCTCCCAGAAGCTGGTGTGGTGTTTGACAGGGGAGCACATAGTGCTTCCTGAATGAATGAGCCAGGGAAGGGGCACATGAAAGGAACGCACCCAGCGCTGGGCCCGGAGCACCCACGCCGGTCATGGGTGCCCCATACCCAAGTTCACACATCTATCTTCATGATACATGATCTTTTAAGCTCCACTGTGGGGACAGCTTGACTGGCCCAGGTTCTAAGTGTTTAGAATACTGAATCTATTGTTCTTGGCTACTAACAACCTCTTTTTCCCTTCTTACCTCACCATGTCCACCTTCACTTTACTCATGTCGCAAAGGACACTTTGCAAAGCTCCAAAGATGAATCTTGGCTGAATGTCAAAGGGATTGAGCAAACAGCAGCCCCATCTCTGTGACTGAGTGTCAGTCACCCTTGGTATCCATTTGAGTCTGGATTTAAGCCCCAACATGTTCATCTGGTGCCCCAAGGCTGAGGCTTGACTTGATAACCTGTGTGGGATGTTGATGGCTAGGATTCCACCTCCCTCCTTCGCCTGTGTTAGTCATCTCACCAGCCTTCTACCCACCTCTCGCCAGAGGCCCTTTTGACAGAATTACCTGACACCTACTTACATGCTCAATTTGATACCATGCTCTGCAATGTGTTTTTAAATTCATTTACTTATATTTTGTATTGGTTAAGAATGATCATAGACACATTGCAAAGTAGGAGAGTTTCCGTATATCCTTCATGCAATTATCAAACCAGGAAGTTAGCACTGGTAGAGGGCTTTTAGCTAAACTGTAGGTCTTGCTGAAACTTCAGTTTTCCACTGTCCTAGGATACGATGCAGGATCCCATTTCATATTAAGTCTGTCGTCTCCTTAGCCTCCTTTAGACAGGACAGATCTTCAGTCTTTCCTTGTCTTTCATGACCTTGACATATGTGAAGACGACCAGTTAGTATTTTAGAAAGTCTCTCAGTTTGTGTCCTGTGAAGTATTTTAAAAGGTAATATTACATCAGATTATTTCTGGCTTAAATTCCTGTTTCCCTCTCACTTGCAGAAGAACTGCCCATCTGGACATACGGACTCTTTGCCACTGGATCCTGCTCTGCTTTCCTTGGATTTCCCTGAAGGCCCGAAAATCTGCAACCATCCCGAACTCCTCCAATAAACATGGTCCAGCACTCGTGTCTTTTGGACACCTGAAATACTTTTCTTCCTTCCCCCTTACCTACCATGTGAACTCCTAATCATTCAGGAAAGTAACGCTCCAAGTGGCACATCTTAGTGGCCTAACGTCATGGCAGTTCACATGTCATTCACTCAGGGTCCCGTGTAGGTGTCCTGGTTGGGTGGCTCTCCTAGGAAGCTCTCCTCCAATAGGTGGAACATTCGGGGACACTGCCTTCCCCCACACATGGCCTCCCAGAGCCCCACAGAAGGGACGGAGGAGGTGTGTGAAGGGTTTTTGTCTGTGTAGGGGGCAGAGGGGTGGGTTTTATAGGACAAGCCAATACAGGCTCACTTCACTTCTGCCCATGTTACATTGGTCAAAACTAATCATATAATCACACCCATATGCAAGGGAATAGGGAAATCTCATTTTCTGGATTCCAAGAGGGAAATGAAGCAGATTCATGAAGTCACAGCATCGTCTCTGCCACTGGCCTCCCTTCTGGCCACCAAATTCCTTTATTTCTCTTCCCATAAAATACAGCTTGCTTACCCTCTTCCCTAGAAAGAGAACTCCGAGGCCTGTCCAGTCCCAGCAGCCAAGTCAGAGCCCAGAGCTCTGCACAGATCAGGCCTCTCCAGGAAGAACAGGAGCGGCTGCTTTTGCTCTGCTTTCTTATGATCTGAGAGGTAATTTGTCTGCCACCCACCCTCCCCTGATTGACCCCCTACAGAGGTGCTTGGGACAGCAGGCCGGTGTGAAACCTTCCCACGTGGAGAAAGGAGGAAGGGACGTCTCTGACCTCTCACTGGCCTGCAGGTGTCCTGCAGTCCCACAGGACAGGCACGGTGACGCCTCACTGCTGTGGGTGCCGGGGTGGTGGGGATGGGGGGATCCGATCACACCCTGCCCCTGCTCTCCAGTGCCCCATGGTCATGGCCCCAGAATCCTCCCTCTGAGGGCTGCTCCTGGTTCATTGCCACCCACAGCCACAGAAGAATGGGCTTTAGGAGGTGTGTTCTTCCAGCAGTACACTTTGGGAGCTCACTTCCTGTTCAGGGAAGATGGGAACTCAAAGAACAGTTCGTAAGTTCCACACAATCTGAGGATTTTTTGATCCAGACTCATGGTATTGTTGGTAGTGTAAAAACAGTGACTTCTGATCTGTTTTCCTCCTGTCAGTTCCATGCGCCAATACCCAGAGCACAGACCCTCCCTGGACATCCCTCTGGAATCTCCTCTGTTTCTCTGCCTCCTCTCGCTTCTCACTCTCTCTGTCAGAGTGGAAGCCTCTCTGAGACCCCTGGGCCTCAGTGGGAAGTCTTCCTTTGCTTATGCTCTACCTTTGACCTGAGTCACTTATTTAACTTAGAAAGTTCACCAGAACTTAGTTGAAATGATTTTCTATTCCCATATTTTACTGTTTGGAGAATAGAAGTAGTTACCTTTTGCAACCCTCTAAGGTCCTGAATTTCTGGACCCTCTATTTCCTTTCACTTTCTGTCACTTAGCATCCAATTATTTCCCGAGTCATCTTTTTCTTATATTGCCTTAACAAATGGAGCCAATTCCAATTAAAGTACATTTCTAATGTGACTCCCTCTAGGAGCCCATAGTGATGGGATCTGCCTTCCAAGTCCCTGTAGGTGACCATTTTGCTCAGTTATATAACATAGGGGTTCAGCCACCCAGCAGGCTATGTTTCTTCCCCACCTCTATGGCCTCATCTTTCCTGTTACAGAAGCAACTGGCAACAGCCTGGTTGGCTGCAAGACACCAATTTCCATGGTATTAAATAAATCATGCTAGTTGCTGTAAATGACCCCCAGATGTCAGTGGCTCAACAAAATAAAAGTTCCTCTCTCGCCCACCTGATGTCCAACAAAGATTTTCCAGTTAGGGCCCCCTCCTTCAGGCAATGACTCAGTGATTCAGAGTCCTTCCATCTCAGGATGCTGCCATTTCCAACACATGGCTCCAAATTTACCATAGGAAAAGGGGAAAGGATCAGGTGCCAGGACATTTTATGGGCTAGCCTAGATACGTCATATATCATATCTGCCCACATTTCATCAATTGGAAATAATTTCATGGCCTTCTTTGGGTGCAAAGGGGCTGGAAAATGTCATCCTTCTGGGTGCCCAGGAAGATAATTGAATGGTTGACAATAATTAGAATTAATTTTGCCACAAAGACCAGTCTGAAATGTTACCTACTGTCTTTGCAGAATCAATAATTTCCCCCTTCACTCACATGCATCTTGTATGTATCATGGTACTCACCACATGTAGTAAATATTTTTCTGTGGTCTACAGACTTGCCAGGTAACGAGTGCCTCAAGGTTAAGCACTGCCCTGGATTTACCTTGGCCGTCCCTGAGCCTGGCGCGCTGTGCCGGGCGCTTGTTGAAACCAAGTTGGGATGGGCAGGAGGCCAGGCGTGGATACTGAGAGTCTGTCCTCTCTGCAGAGCAGGCCAGGGCTTCTCAATCAGGGGGAAAAAAACTGGTGATTATTTTGAAGACATGTTTTCAAATTGAAATGAAAGTAACATTATGTTCTTTTTACTTATTCAAGTGGGAAAAGTGTTTCCCTTCTCACCCTTGGCATTCACTTGCTAGTTTTGCATTTCCCCATGGATTATTCTCAACACAATAGAAATTCTCAGTAGAGGCTATTATTTATATTTTTTTTGAATAACATCGCTTGTCCTGAATTACTTGGTTGCTTAAATAATAGGAAAAAGAAGCCTGTAAAATATGGGCATTGAACATCCTTCAGACACAAGCTGCCCCTCAGTCCTGGGAGGGAGACGTGCAGGGATTCTGTTCCCTGAAGATTTAGTGCTATACCCCAAGGCCTCTCTATTCAAGGAGCCTGTGGTAGAAAACCTTCCTGTTCCAACAGAACCATGTCCAACTAACAGATGGAAATATACAGAAATGCAGAACAAGAGCCGTTTGTTTGCTGTTAATCTAAAGAACAAGGGCTGCAGGGCCTCTGCCCATCACCTGAGGTGTCTCCTAGGACCCAAGCATGGGCTGGTGAGCAGGGGTCCCTGCTGCGTCCTGGACAGATGGAGCCTTCCGCCTGGAGTGGTGCTCAGGGTCGGGGGGATGGCACTTAGAGATGCCCTCAGAGGTGTGGACAGGGCCCATCTATAGTTATCTAGACAGTTTTTTAGCAGGTGTAAGTGTCTTGTTCTAAAATAATCAGGATATTGCAGCCATTTTCTTACAGGTAGACATGATGTGTCTTGAAGAAGGGAACCTTTCTGTGACTTGCCCCAAAGCGCCACCTGAGCTAGCTGCAGCCACATGGAGCAGATCCTCCCCACCTGTCCTGGACTCCTCCTCCAGGGCTGACTTGCAGAGTGGATTAGCTGTGAGAATGGGTGGTGCGTGTGTCCTGGGAAGTTGGTCCCTAAATGGAGTTGATACACCTGCCCTTGAGAAACCTGTTCAGCATGGGGCTCTGTGCAGCAGCTCGCTGAGGCACCTATGCATGTTCCTGGCCACCTTTAGCAGGTGGACAGTGGAGTGCAGCCCCTTGAAAATCAGAGTGTTAGACCCTCCATGTGAGGGTATGGGGCCTCTGTCACCTGCCGTGGGCTATGCCCCTTGTAACTCCCACACACAGGTCAACAAACAGTCTATCAAATGGGCAAAATGCTATTCCATGCAGCCATTTTTTCTTTAACTAACAGACTGTATTTTTTAGAGCAGTTTTAGGTTCAGAGAAAAATTGAGAGGCAAGTAGAGTTCCTATATGCCACTCTCTCCTGCAGTGTCCCCTACTAATAACAACCTTCATTAGTGTGGCACATTTGTTACAGTTCAAGAAATGACTAATATAATAATAATAATTAAAATAGAGTAAAGTGTAAATAACTTTTAAGTTATATAACTAAAATAATTTAAATTTAGATAATAAATTAAATAATTATGGTAAAATAATCAATAATATTATATAACAATGTATATTCAGTTAGTGATTATTAACTGAAGTCTCTAGTTCTTATTAGGGTTCACTCTTGGTATATGTTTTGATAAATGTATGATGATGTACATCCATGGTTCTAGTACCATATAGAGTTGTTTCACTGCCCTAAAAATCTGCTGCACTCTGCCTATTTATCCCTTTCTTTGCTGCCTCCAACCCTGCCTGGAAAATGCTGATCTTTTTACTGTCTTCACTGTTTTACCTTTTCCAGAATGTCATAGACTTGGAATCACACAGTGTGTAGCCTTTTCAGACTGGCTTCTTTCACTTAGTAACATGTATTCAAGTTTCTTCTTTTGTGTGGCTTGATAACTCACTTATTTTTAGGGCTGAATAATATTTCATTGTCTGGATATACCAGTTTCTTTATCCATTCCCCTGAGAAAAGACATCTGGGTTGCTTCCAAGTTTTGGCAATTATAAATAAAGCTGCTATAAACATTTGAGAGCTGGTTTTTGTGTGGACATAAATTTTCAGCTCATTTCCACTAGGCAAGTACATGTCTAGGAGCACAATTGTTGAATGACACAGCAAAAGTATGTTTAGTTTTTGTAAGAAACTGCCAGAATGTCTTCCAAGGTCACTGTACCATTTCACATTCCTACTAGCAATGAGTCAGAGCTCCTGGTGCTCCATACCCTCACCAGTATTTGGGGTTGTCAGTGTTTTGGATTTTGATCATTCTAGTAGGTGTGCAGTGGTACCCTGTTTATTCCCTGATGACACGTGACAGTGAGCACTTTTTCATGTACCTGTCATCAAGTTTTTTTTTCCCATGAGTCTAGTGGAGATATTTCTTATTCTAAGGAGAATGAATTGGCTTATTTCCATGGGAGAAATATGTTTTCAGACTGATTGAGCCAAACATTCCCTTAACATATCTTTCAAAAGTGATGGGGAATGAGACTAATGCCAAACACCATTTCCTTTTTTAGATGCTTCCAAACAGACAGCATAATCAGTGCTAAAACCATAGGAGGCACTTGGTGCCCTCCCCAGAGGCTCCAGGCTGGGAGTGGAGGGTTCCCAGCCAT